GCGTGCCTAACGAATGCATAACCGGTTACTATTTACATGCTATAATATACTTAAACATACTAAACAGTAAAACAAGTCTAACGGTTGCTAACCTAAGTTAATCATGCATTTTTACTCCTTTCGACATTAACCGAACAATTGGTGTATGGTTAAACATTTACCCACAATCTAACCATATTGAAACTATAATATACCMTTTTTATTTCTACATCAATATAACCAGTTCTAGCATTCTAAACATCAAATATATCATAAATATGACAATATCAATCCGTAAACTTAGATATAAACACAGTTTATAAACCGGTCTAAATAACCCTAAAATAAACACCTTAATGAAACTAAATGAAACTTATACCTTTAAGAAGGGTACGGAGAGTAGATTCCGAATATATAATTATTGCCTCGATCCGTTTACTAACTTAACGCCAAATCTAGAGAGAAGACATAGGATTTTAGAGAGAGAAAATTGAGAGAGAGAGAGAGAGAGAGTGTTGAGAGAGAGGCGGTGAACCTCTATACATACATATATATATTTTTTTTTATTTTTTTATTTTTTATTTTTATTTTTAACACAACCGCCTTATATATAATATATATATATATATATATATATATAATATAATATATAAAATATAATATATATATATATATATATATATAATTTAACTATTTGACGGTTTTTACCTTTCAAGTTAAATTCCCAACTTTACGTCAATATAGGTATAAACACATTTTGACGTAAAACTAGTCTAGGATACAAATTGGTTAAGCATAGGGTACAAATATATCATGCATAATTCTACCAAAATTCTCTTAACCCAATTTGTACGAGTTAACGAAATACGGATATTATATTTGTAATGTTTCTTTGAGAAGGATAGATCTTTTCGGTGAAGCCATTAAACACCAATACGATATATTAAAATTCAACTTAGAGGTGGCCAAAAATCGGTATCAGGCCGGGCCATAACCGGTTACGGCCGGTCCCGATCAAGACAAAAACGTTCCATAATCGGTCCCGGTTCCGGTGAAATCCTCCATAACCGGTCAAGCTTACCGATAACCGGTTAAGCCGTCCGGTCCTGGTTCCGGTCCCATAACCGGTTACGGCCGGTCCTTTGCAAAAAAAATTTTTTTTTCAAACTTTTGGTAATTAATAAACTTATATACATATACATATATATATATATATATATATAACAAAACATATTTTTAAACGTATTTATAAAATTAAATGTATTTATTTTTAATATGTTATTAATATGTTTGTAATATGTTATTTT